CTCAATTACATTTTGAGCTATGTTTCAATGAAATCAAATATAACAGTCCCCTGGCAACAGTCCCCTGCCTATCATTAAGACAGGGGACTGTTCCCGCCTCCATGGGACTGTCTTTATATTATGTTTGTCATTGTTTTAGGTACACGTGTGTTTGAGTATGGTGCCAAGGAAGCGAAAACTTTCTAAGGAAGAGATTTTACAAAGAAAAAGAGAAAACGAGCGAAAGAGATATGAGCGTATTAAAAACGACCCGCAGAAAAGGGAAGAACTTAGAGAGAAAGAACACCTTAAATACCTTAAGAAAAAGGAAAAGGGAACTAGGAAGCTTGTTATGAATATGACGCCACGTGAACACAGGGAAGCAAAAAAGAAGTGGAAAAAGTATTGCACCAAGTATCGCAATAAGAAAAAGGTATTATCAAATATTACTAACATGTATATGAGAGAAAATACTCCAGATTCTGATGTATCTAATTCATCTCAGATGCCAACAGCTGAAGTTGTAGAAAAAATTCGAAAAACAAATTATAAAGAGAAGATGCTAAGATATAAAATAAAGAAGAAAAAAGATGAAGAAATTAGAGTTCTGAAAAAGAAAATATTGAAGTACAAGAAACGCCTGTCGCGATTGAAGAAACAAGCAATTACAGAGCGGAAAGATACACCAAACACCAAGTTACTGAAAATGGCAAATACTCCAGAATCTAGGAAAGATCTAGTCAAAAAGGCACTTTTTGGTGAAGTATTAAAAGAGCAATTACAAGAGAATTTTTCAGAGATGAAAACTCTAAGAGAAAAAAGACTTTTAGCAAAAGTTGTTTCAGGTAAGATTGTTGATAAATATAAGTTATGGCGAATGAAAGACGCAGGTGTGAGAATAAAAAAGGCAAAAATGACTCATAAACTGGCAAGAAAAAGCAAAGTATCAGATGAATGTGTAAGAGCAGTTGTAAATTTCTACGAAGATGATTCTAATAGTAGACTAGGATCGGGAAAGAAAGAATTTATTACTAGAAAACCAGAAAGGAAACAAAAGCGATACATGCTTGATTCGTTACTCGGCTTATACAAGAAATTCCAACACCAAAAGAGCAATTTCAAACTGAGTTATCAAACCTTTTGTAGGTTGCGACCTTTTTGGATTGTCATGCCCAAAATTGATAAGCGTGATACTTGTTTGTGCATTAACCACGCAAACATTGACTTAAAATTAACAGCTCTATGTAATGGAAAAATCTTAAATTATAACAGTCATCAAAAATTGCTTCAGGAACTGTGTTGTGACCGCTATAATGAGCAGTGTTTGTCTAGAGAATGTCAGAAGTGTGTTAATAAGACTCCTTCTTACAAAGAATTTAATGACAGAAGACAAATCATATATAAAAAATGGATAGCCGAAAAACTAGATTTCATTGACCCAAGATCCAAAAAGATTCGTCGAGTAATCAAATACATTAAGAAGTATTTTAATGTGAAACCCCGCGACCTCATTACAGAATTGCATGAAGATCTAGAGACATTTTTTCGCCACGAAAGAAATATTGTACACCAGTTCAGTGCAATAAAGAAACTGAAAAGAACCCTGACAGAAAAAGATGCTCTAATTCATATAGACTTTTCTGAAAATTATTCCACTAAATACTGCCAAGAAATTCAGGCTTTCCATTATGGCGGGTCGCGTACACAGATTAGTCTACACACGGTTGTAGTGTATTTGAAAGATACAGTTAAATCTTACTGCACAATCTCTACGAATGTTTCTCATTCTCCAGCTGCCATTTGGGCTCATCTGAGTCCAATTTTTAATGCCTTGCCACCTCAAATTGAAAACCTGCATTTCTTGAGCGATGGACCAGTGACTCAGTATAGAAACAAAACCATGTTTTACATTATGGCGACAAAAATACCAAAACGACTTCCACACATACAAAAGTTTACCTGGAACTTTACGGAGAGTGGCCATGGTAAAGGCGCACCGGACGGCGTTGGAGCTACCTGCAAGAGGACTGCAGATGCCGTGGTTGCTACTGGAGGCGATGTAGAAAATCTAGAGAAGTTTGTAGAAGCCATTGAACAAAGATGTCCTGCCATTAGTTTAAGTATTATACAAGATGATGCGATTAAAGAAATGAGTGCCGAAATCGAACGAGAAGTAACTAAGGTGAAAAATTTTGTTGGCACCCTCAAAGTCCATCAAGTCACTGGAAAATTCTATAACCCTTTGGGTATAAAATACAATTCCATTGAGTTAGTAATGAAACATCTAAGCTGCTTTTGTGATAATGATTGTTGTCTACACTTCAATATCGGAAAAATTGTTTATGAAGACAAGAAAAAACTTATTGTGGAAGATGTGTTCACTGATTCAGAATCTGAGAATGAACCTGGACCTAGTTCTGCTACAGTAAAAGCATTTAACACTGGTGATTACATCCTCGTTAAATTGCTTGCCAGAAATATGGAATATAGATATGTTAGCGTTATTGACAATATTGATGAAGAAGATGGCGAAATCCGTGTCACCTTTCTAAAGCTCTGTGATAATAAAGGCCAAACATTTAGATTTGATCAAGACGATGTGGCAGATGTTACAATGGACCAGGTGATACAGAAACTTCCAAATCCAAATATAGTTTTAAAAGGGAATAGAATATTTTACAAATTTGATTTACCTGTAAATGTTTTTGAAAAACAATAAGAACAAATTCTTGTTACTATTTTCTGTGCCTATTTGTGCCATATTTAAGTAATAACTAATTATCTTTAATTATAATGAGACTGATTCTATAGTGTAAGACTCAAAATACTTAAATGTTCTTTCAATGTATGTGATTTTAATTGAATACTAATTACATGTTATTAAGGTTCCATAGTAAGAATTTGAGTATGAGTAGAATATTATAAAAAAAGACTGTTGATTTTTTTTTGTTTCTTTATTGTTCAATTACTTTATTTCTAAGCTCCCAAAAGTTTATGAAAATCAAAATGATTAAATTTTGGTACTGAAATGGCATTTTTCATTTAAATACACAGTCCCCTGACATAGGCAACAGTCCCTTGTATCGATTTTTCAGAAAATGCTCAATATTTTCTAAACTAATGAAAACATTTTTGGTTCATCTGCATTATTACTATATAGGTGGATATATATTTCCTGAATAAGAAATAACAAATATATAAGCATAAAAGTTGCCTAGACAACTTTCTTAGAACGAGTTGCCCAGTTTACAGAGAAATGCCCATAAATAAATAAACCAAACCACAGATATTCATAAAAGTTGAAAATTTTAAAAAAGTCAAAAATGAGCAAAAAATTAAAAAGCAAACCGCTGAGGCATTGTTTTCAGTATTATAATAGTATAGAAACTGATTAAGTTTTATTAAAAACTAACTTCTCAATTAAATGACACTGTGTAACAAAAAACTTTACCTCGGTGTCAACTAGCGACATCTAGTGAACAGAAAATTATTAGCCCTCATTACACGTAGCATTTAAAAGAAGAAATATATGATTTTATTGTCTAGTACTGTTTTTGTTGTGGACTGGTCCAGTGGTGCCGCGTGTTCGTTGCCGAGTCGGGCTAGAACCAGTTTTGAGACTTTTATATAGAGAAATTCTCAGTAGAGGCCTGGACTTAAGGAAGTTGGCAGTGTTTTACCTCCGTATCTCGTAGAGCAAGTAAAGCCTGATCCTGCGTGTTTTCTCTCTCCAGTCGTGTCGGATTGCCGTGCCATTGCACTATGAGAGTAAGGGAATAGAGAGCGCACTGTGGTTGCATACAAACTTGTGTACTATAATCCTGTTCTGCGCAGTAGGCTAACCTCCGTCCGGTCTAGAGGATATTATTATTAATATTATTTCTGTTTTAGTTACATTATATGTTGTCATTGACGGTTTAGGAACAACTTTAAGTTTAGCTTTCATTTTGTAATGTTTAACTTGTGTTTAACATATCTGTAGTTTTCAATATGTACAAAATTCGGATAAAACTATTAATCGGAAACAAGAATAACATATACTATGTAAAAGTAAAAAAAAATTATGGATAAACAATAATAAACAATTATTAATTTAGTTATACATTCTAAGACTTAGCGACATAGACCACCTGTTTCAATTCGTTTCAACAAATTCTAAAGATTTAATATACAATTCTACATAAGAAACATCTTGTAGTGAATGTAGTTAATTACCCTTTATTATTAGAACATAATATACATGTATGTAAGCTAATGTATATAAGATATTCATAAGAAAGAGCGACATAATTATATTGTCGATTACATCTAACTAACAGTGTTTATTTGACCCTTATGTGTAGGGCTACCAAACCTACTATATAATAACTATATCTTACTATATTACGGGTCCGAATACTATGATTCTAATAAATATATACAGTAGGCGTATAGCGAGAGGCTGCTAATTAATGCAGCAATAAATATTCCTTTTAAAAATAAAATAATAATTTGAAACATAATAGGTTTTTTTTCTTCACAATCTATTATAATTTTATATTATAAGTTTTGAATTTACTAAATTTGATAGAAAAAAAGTTGGAAACTGTACTTACGAGGAACATTACGTGCTGCACGCTTACCGCTGTCATACTCAAATGGAATTAAAGTAAATAAGAAAAGTGTGAATTTGGTATATTATCGCGATAGTGCAGTGACGATATACAATAAATACGATATATCATAAAATTTGCTGCATAACACTGACTAAGTGTACATCATGTTTATGCAATTAAGCTAAGATTGATACTCGTATAAACATTAATTTTTCGTCGAGATATGCGAATGGAAAAATTTTATTATGTTTATGTATGTTTGTTTGTACCTACTATCTTTTTAAAAACACTAGAATCGGACAAGAGCTATGTTAACATGTTACTTTCAAATATTGGACATTTTACAAAAACTTCCAAATGGGAAACAAAAAATAAAGATTAACTACATACACTACAATATAAAAAACGCATTTCATTTTAATATAATTAATACAGTTGACATTCGTATGTGGTGGTGCCGTCCCTCCAAGTAGGCTCGTCGGCGACTTTGGCGCGGCAGAGTGGACACGTGTGCTCCCGGTCCAGCCAGGCCGAGATGCAAAGCTCGCAGAAAATGTGACTACAATCCAATCGCACGGGGGTTGTGTAGTCGTCGTGGCAGATCGGGCACGAGTCCCCGGCCGACACCAGCTGCTCGCCGGTTGGCTTCGTGCCCAGATTCTGTGATAGGGAGCCATGTATTGTTTGTTTTTAAGATGTTTTTGCGTGACGACTTGTGGAAAATTTTTAAAATTATAAAAGCTGCCAAAGGTATTCCATCATGATCAAAATCCACCAGCTTGCCTATTCGTTAACTTTGTTGCAACAAAATAATATTTTTTTTTATAGGATAAGGGTGACAAACGAGCACACAGTCCACCTGATGGTAAGTGGTTGCTGTGGCCCATAGACATCTACATTTATCCTCGATTACGAATCAAAATGCAGATGCGTTGTCACCCGTGAGGACTAAGATGGAATACCTCGTTTCCAGTAAAAAGGGTTTCCGGTTCTCTACACTCACCATACGAAACACAGCAGCATTAAGCTGCTATTTTACGCTGGTATTCTGTGAGAGCGTGGTCCTTCCCTGGTCGAGCCGACCCATTCGTGTTACAACTATACCAGAAATATAGCTGCAGCATGGCTCTACCACGTTAGAATAGTAAACTTGTAGTACATTACGACGTATGTTTTGTGAACGTTATATACCATATGATGCAACTAGTGTAGTAATGTACCGAATAGGCCTGCACAGTCAATCTTAATTAAAGAAATAGATTTTTCTTTTAAGCATGTTGTGACAAAATGTGTGTGTGTGTGTAAAAAATATAGCAACAAATTGTATACACTGTAAATACAAAAGGATGTCCTTTAAAAATTCATAAATGCAAAGACTACTATTGTGTATGTCTATGTAAAAAGGTGTGTGGGCTGCATCTCCTAGCGAACGGTCGCTGTCTCATTAAGCCAGTGTGCAATTAACTAGCTTGTCTAATTGACGTACAACCCTAGTCACTTCCTAAGTATATCAATAATCAACAACAACAAACTAGATATAGACCCCACGAACATTAACTAGATACCCTTCTAAATAAAAATAGTCGTAATAAAAGAAATCAGTAAATATTGAATTTCGGAAGAACTCACCACACTTTGAAGCAGCGTCCATGTTGCGTTTTTAAACAGACGCAGCCTCACCAGAATCTCTACTATCTTGGCTATAACGTAGACAGAGGTGAGGAACATGCCCACCATCTTCTCCGATCCCTCATACGACTGCATCAAGAAGATAATCCAAGGCTGGATGGTGATCAGAGAGCGATAGAGCTGAGACACTGACTCCGTGAAAAGGTATACTTTACCCTGAAATTTATTATTCATTATTATATATATTTATAATTAATTGGTGCTTAAAGCAGCGTTCGGGACATTACGACACATCTTCTCGTGGGGTATACCTTAAAAATTGAAAACGAGATTATACAACCAGTGCGTGTTGCCAGTAACTACTTATGGATCTGAGACATGGTCCTTCACTGTTGGCCATATGAGGAAGCTCAAGGTCGCTCAGCGAGCTATGGAGAGTGCTATGCTCGAGGTTTTCTGCGTGATAAACTTGGAAATGAGGATACCCACAGTAGAACCAGAGTGACCGACATAGCCCAACAGATTAGTAAGCTGAATTGGCAATGTGCCGGCCATATAGCTCGAAGAACCGGCAACCGTTGGGGAAAAAAGGTCCACATGGGCAACCACGAATTTAAATTTTGATTCTTTGGGTTACGTTGTCCACTAACCATCAAGTAGAAAGAGTAGAACCTTTTTTTAAGTAACTAAAGACCTAGTAATCAAAAGTGCATGTTGATAATAATTTTTCAATAGAGTCTGAAGTATGCTCATGTCTACAATCATCATGTGACTTGGAGAGACTCAAGGCATTTCTTACTCACCCTCTTCTGAAACGGCAGAAGACACGCCGGCATCATGGTCACCAGTAATTTTATATCGACAGTTATAATCTTAACAATCAAATCTGTCAAAACTACCAGCCACAGTAACTCCCACACATCTATGGGTTCCGTATACCCTGGGAACATGACTACGTTGGGCAATAACCTCCCATGGCCAAACAGGAAATGGACAATCGCGATGCTGCTGGCAGTGAAAACTAACTCACTGAATAATATCAATATACTCCGATTCATTTGCTTGGCGTGCTCCCTGGAAAAATTTTACAAAGCATTAGAAAGTCAAAACAAATAAAAAAATAAAATTATTACCCAAGGTCTAAGGGACTTCAAAGTCGTAAATTACGTAGCGCAAATAATAATATCTAAATAATATTTGTATTAATGCCATTTGCAGTTTAGCCAAAATATATATATTTATACGTGGTAGTCATGCTGCAGCTATATTAGTAGTATAGTTGTAGCACGAATGGGTCGGCTCGACCGGAGAAGGACCACGCTCTCACAGAATACCAGCGTAAAATAGCAGCTTAACACTGCCGTGTTTCGTATGGTGAGTGTAGAGAACTGGAGACCCTTTTTACTGGAAAAGAGGCATTCCATCTTAGTCCTCGTGGGTGACAACGCATCTGCATTTTGATTCGCAAACGAGGATAAATGTAGATATCTATGGGCCACAGCAACCACTTACCATCAGGTGGACTGTGTGCTCGTTTGTCACCCTATCCTATAAAATAATAATAATGTGTATAATATTTTTACTAGGTGACAGTGGCTCCTTTTTGCCATGGAGCCCATCTGGGTAGACACCATCCTCATACCTATTTCTGGCCTGACGGGTATACAGAGGCAGTATAATTACATATAATACCATCTTAGTCCTCAGAGTTTGTTTGAAGTTGGCTGCAATTGTCCCTGGACTGGACCATCAGGTGTTAAAACACCTGACGGTAAGTGGCTAATGCCCACTTGTTACTTCTTTAATAAAAACAAATCCAAAGTTCCTTGGTGGCAATCCGTTTAGTCGGCCTGCTAAAATTAGGGCTGGCTTTATTTCATTCAAAGATAAAAAATAATTTTTAACAAGATTTTTTTTTAAAGTTAATATTTTTTTTTCTGCAACATATTAAACTTGTTATTTGAGTTCATATGAAAAAAGTTATATCCTTATTACTTTAAGGATAATTATAATATTTAAATAAAATATAAATACTAAATAAATAAAAAATATATATAAAGATTTCCAAATCCATTTACAAGTTTACATGTAACCATCACATAATAATATATGAAAATGGTTTCTTGGTTTTTATTTATAGGTGTTGTAAAAGATAAGCAATCCATAAAAATCTCTCTACAGATACTATCCCATAACATAACTCTAAAGATATTACAAAAAATTTCCACAACCGACTTCAATATAAATTATTAAGATTAACTCAAAAACTATTGGTCAGACCTTGATTAAATTTATATGGGACCACATGAGAAGCATTAGCTTTCAAAAGAAAAAAGAATCATCGAAATTGGTTCACCCAGAAAAAAGTTATGAGGTAACAAACATAAAATAAAAAAAGAAGAAAAAAACATACAGTCGAATTGAGTACCGTCTCCTTTTTGAAGTCGGTAGAAAAAGAGGATTATGATGTACAAAAATGTAGCAAATTGTAAGATTTTGGTTTTACATGAAGGTAATACCTCCTACTTCCATATCGTCCCGCGGGTATCATAGGAGGCGACATAGGGAAATAAGGCAGGAGATGGGCGACGGTTATGATACCTTTTTTGACTGCAAAGTGGCAATGTAAAAATACCCACTACCCCATATCATCCTGTGAGTGTTGTAGGAGACGACATATAAAACAAGGCAGAAGGTAGCCAACCCACCTGCCAGGCGTGGCTACTTACGGCAAATATTACAAGGAAACTTATGGACTTTTGATAGGATCTACTAATAATAGTAATAAAATTAGACAATATTATTGTCCCTTACCTCCTCACTACCGTGTTACTGTGTGCAAATATGGAGAAAAGTATGAGGAATGTAAAGATACCCTCTCTGCTGTCATAAATCAGTTTAATGAACAGTATAAAGTAGAAAGGTGCATAGCGTATTAAAAAGTTTAATGCAGCTCTGACATCTAATACCTGAAAGAAAAATAATATTATATTATAAAAATGTTACATTAGTTCATGAATAACTGTAGAATAAGCTTTATTCATAGGCAAAATATAAACATAAAGCATTATTATTTTTCTTCTTCACCAGCCTGCATCAGCTTATAGCTGGAGATAGACCAGCCCTGTTGCACAGAGACATTGACATACCCTTTAATCATTTGGCAGGTACGTCTCCCATTTATGGCACCGCTGCCCATTGTCAGACTGAGTATTATATACAATATGTAACAAAAACCCTGTGGTTCCCGTTAAGTACGTTATCAGGATCATTATTCAAACATATAGAAATAACTTGTTTTTAAAAACTCGAACAATTTTTTTTTATTTTATTTAAAAAAAATTGTATGCAAATTGTATGTGGTTTTATTACCTCTGCATTGTCTGGGGAGTAAGAGAATTGTCAAAGACCCCGCTTTACTTAGCTTTAGCATCGGCTAGTGTCGGTAAGAGGTAATAAAACCACAGAAAATTAATTCTTTTTTAATAAAATGAAAAAAAATATGGTTGTGTTTAAAAAAAAGTTATTTCTATAGGTTTGAATACTGATCCTGATAACCTACTTAACGGGAACCACAGGGTTTTTGTTACATGTTGTATAATGAAATGTGTGCTTCTCAATGCCTTTACGTATGTGAGGGCAATAGTAGTGTCATGCATGCACACTTAGTCTTTGTCATCATAGATTATACGTAAGTAGAATGATCAGTATGTAATAATTATTTATTTAGATTGTATTGTTAACTAGTTGGTGCCTGGTGTTCCAGCCGCAGAAGATATAATTGTGGAAATATTGTTTTAAATTTAGAAAAGTTATATTGTTTAATTAGGAATGAAAATACATTCATTGAAGTTGAATGATAACTTTCAAATAAATTTGTCGGTTATGGTACGCGGGTCACCTACTGTAAGTTATTTGTACTATGCCTATAAGTTTTGCGCAAGTGCAAGCAATAAGTTGACAAAGATTTACCACAATCTGATGAACGGTACGGCAACGCATAAAATATGAACAAACAAACACAAATTTCTATATACTAGATTATATCAAGTACAATTTTTTTTAATTATTCATTTATGTTGCATATATGTGCTAATTTACTATAATATTACATAATATTATGTCACAATTACATTTAAATCATATTTCTATTTCAAAAATTTTAAAGGTAACTATGTAAAATATAAAAACCACATTAAATGTATAATTATAATGTATTAACAGAGATCATTAATATTACATTTTATTTAGAAATAGATAGATTAAAAATAAAGAGTCGGGAGTAAAAAATGCGACATAGCTATATAAAGGTGACACTTTGTTTATATTGTGTCTAATGAATTACTGTAAGAAAACATAGTCTGGAGCCTGTGAACTATAACACATCTTGCCAATAAACAAGTCTTGGTAGACACCAACCTACTACGATCTACATAATATCTAGACATCTTAGTATGTAGTAGATATTACTTCAATGGGTATTCTTTATAATAACTTTTCGGGATATATAAAACAATAACTTCCCGAATGTGCTAGCAACATCAAAGGACTATTGAACTTCTTTGGGAAGATTTCATAGCTCATGGCTCGAATAATCACATTATTCCTGCCCAAACGCAAAATACACGCTTTGACGTAAAGATGGGGAAAACAACCTGTCGTAAACTAACTAACAAAACTAAAACTATAACTTTTGCAATAGCTTTAAACTATTTTTCGTCAAATATAAGTGTTTATGCTTTATGCACAAATAGCAATCTTGAGAATCCCTTGTTTTAATAATAATAATAATAAATAAATAAATAAATTTTATTTCGTTTTTAAAAGGTAAATGCCTTAAAAACTAGTAGATTGGAACCTCCATTTAAGCAAATAATGCCTGTGTTTGGAGGGTCCGCCCTTCCATTACTATATCCATGTTACAAGGCAGTATGGATAAACATATTCTATATCCATATTAATGTTATATATTACTTAAATTCTATATTAATTCTATTACTTATGTATGTATGTATGTATGTGTGTGTGTGTGTGTGTGTGTGTGTGTGTGTGTGTGTGTGTGTGTATGTGTGTGTGTGTGTGTGTGTGTGTGTGTGTGTGTGTGTGTGTGTGTGTGTGTGTGTGTGTGTGTGGGTGGGTGGGTGGGTGTGTGGGTGTGTGTGTGGGTGGGTGTGTGTGTGGGTGGGTGGGTGTGTGTGTGTGTGGGTGTGTGTGTGTGTGTGTGTGTGTGTGTGTGTGTGTGTGTGTGTGTGTGTGTGTGTGGGTGTGTGTGTGTGTGGGGGTGTGTGTGTGTGTGGGTGGGTGTGTGTGTTTGTGTCTATGCTTGCGTGAGTTAAAAAGAGTATGTGTGATTACAGTGTCTGAATCTGAACAAATCATGCTACACAATCCAGTAGCTTCTCAATTTCGTGTCTTATGATGAATCCATTCTAACAAAAGTTTTTTACAGTTGTGATATGTTTTGTCGTATATATAAATATCTTTGTTTATTTTATTATAAAGAAAGGCAGAACGCGATATAAATTGTCTGCTCGCAAATGTGGTTTTAGTTCTGTATGTCTGGGCAACCATGTTTCTACGTCGTTTATTTAAATGGCATGGATCATAAGACAATGATTTGTGAGTTTTGAGGGTTGTCCAGAATATATACAACTTCCTGACAGAGAGTAAACCGCTGATACGAAATAGGAAATCGGTATAAAAGCGTCTCTTCTTAAAGTACATAACTTTAATAAGAGAACGCTGCGTCCTCTCTAACTCCAGAAATCGAGTTTTTGCTGCACCACCCCAGACAGGAATACAGTAGGCCAAGACGGATTGAGCAAGAGCAATGTAGATTTGATTGAGGAGATAATTTGGTGAGTCCTCATCCAATTTGCCCAGCATTACATGTCTGAGGGTTTTGAAGATCCAAGTTAGTTTCCTCATTCTATTGATGACATGATCAAGGTGTGGGTACCATGATAGTCTTTGGTCTACAATTACTCCCAGATATTTTGTCTGAACTACCTTATCGATCCTAGGGCAGTTACAGGTGTTTTTATTAGTATCCGTTGTACATTCATGAATTTTTAAACTGAAGTCGGCCTGAGGTTGAGAGTTGTTGTTAGTACTAAAACATATATAGTTGGTTTTAGAAGTATTTAGGGTCAGGAGGTTGTGTTTCAGCCACTGAGCAATTCGCAACAGACCAGCCTCAGCACTTTGTTTTGAAACAGAGTAGAGCTCAGCAGTGAGACATATGTTTTTTTTATAAAACTGAAGTAATAAACAAAATTATAGTCCACCTGCTGATAAGTGGCTACTGTTCTGGAGGACAATATTATTAATCTAATAATAAAATATTATAATTATATTATAATAATAAAAAAGGAGGAGGTACTCAATTTTACTGTATTTTCTTAATGTGTGTTACCTCAGAACTTTTTTCTAGGTGAATCGATTTTTTTTATTTGAAAGCTGGTGCATTTCATGTGGTCCCAAATAAATTCGATCAATATCTCACCAGTAGTTTTTGAGTTATCTTTAATAATGCTTATTTAATTGACTTTGACTAAAATTAAAATTTTTAATTTTACCACCTGTTTATAGGAGAGGAAGCTAATGTGAGGCTCACCTAATTGTAAGTGATCATTGCTAACCATGAATAATTGCTGCACTATTTTGCTTTAGTAAAACCTAACCCACTGCTATAACATTCACACAGTCAATTTGCAAATATGGGAGACTGTCTCTGAATTTTTAATTCTCAGGTTAATTTCTCCATTATGCATTTTACCTTTCTGCATAAGTATGATACCTGCACATTTTTAATTAAAAAAGCGAGGCTCCGTGGCGCAGTGGCTAAGCAATGAGTTCCAGCGCCTGGGAATGCGGGTTCGAATCCCGCACGGAACAAGTATTTGTATGGCCTACAAATAATTGTTCCGGGTCTGGATATTTGTCCTTGTGGAATTTATGTTTGTAAACTGCCTCCACGATACAGGAGAAAATCCTAGTGTGGGGGTAACAATTAAAAAAAAAAGAAGGGAAGAAAAAAAAGCAAAACAAATTGAATGTAGCTTAATTAAGTCTCACCACTACAGGAGTTACCTGCTGAGCCATTTCATCACTTTGACTGTCATTATCAGTATTGTCATGTATGTTGTTGTTGTTAGCAGGATTAACTGATGCATTAATCTCTTGATGTTCCTGACCTTCTTCTGTAATGTTAGAGTTGTTTGGGGCACTTGTGCTTCCTTGTGGTCTCTGCCCAAGAGGTATGCTTCTTTCTGTTATTACATAAGTCTGCGAGCCAGGACCAAGATTTACATGAGCTATTGAACTCTGTGGCCTTTGTATTCCATCCCCTAACTGATGTGTACCTGGCGTATTTCTCGGTAGCCAAGTTGGCAGCGAAAGTCTAGCATTATTTCCCTGAAATATGTGGTAAAAATGTATTAATATCTTTATCATTATATATTCTTTATAAATAGGGATGAACATTGTAGCATTTTTAATGTATTATTTATTTAATGACCATAAAAAATTACATGTATATTCACAATATTATTGTTTAATCACATTAAATAAATCTAAGGAGGCTTATTTGTCCATGAATTATTAATAACAAAAAGATAACATGTTAGAAATTGAACACAATATCATCATCATCATCATCATTACAGTCCTTCACAAGTCCACTGTTGAACATAGGCCTCCCCCAAGGAATGCCACAAATCAAGGTCCTGAGCCACCTGCATCGACTTCCTGCATGTGTTACCAGGTTATTACTTCATCTAATGGGGGGACACCCTACACTTTGCCTGTCGGTTCTTCGAGCTATGTGGTGGTAATAGTCTTTGTCTAACAGAAAAATAAATGTAATGATGTTTTGGAATTAATTTTCTTAAAATGATGGCAGATATATGATAGAGTTGATAGTAGATACTGTTATTAAGTTTATCAGCATATTACTATTGTTTTACTTTTACACTCAATTATCAATAAAAACTCAAAACTCCTTCTCATTTCAAGTTGATGTGGTGGATCCTTTACTGTAAGGGCAGCCAAGTTATGGAACTCACTTCCACATGACATATATGCTAGGGGTATTCTCTTGATATATTTCCCAACAGAGTAAAGAAACATTATCTATTAACTTAGAATTATACATATTCATATATTTTATTTATTTATATGTATATTTGTGTGTATATATATATATGAGATATATATAATATATATTATCTTTATTTATATATGTATAATTAATAGAAATAGCCAATTTCTATTAAGTAGAGTTTTGTTAATTATTAAGTATGTACGCTGCTACCTATTTGCTTTATATATAATACTATATCTCTCTCCCAAAAGGTTTGCTGGAAGAGAACTCTTATTAGGGTTAAGCTCGCCTTTGTACATCTAATTTCAATATTTAATAATTGTTATGAACTTACGGTGTGTAAAATAAAGAATAAAATAAAATAAATAAAGATAAGAAACACAAGGTGTTATACAAATAGGTAATTAAAGTTAATGCATATGTAATATTATTTTATATTATTACAATAAGCATAAGCCATACCTGCTCACGACTATGACATCGAGAAATTCAATATATAGTATCAGAAAATTTCACAGAAATAATGATGACTAATAGACATATCTTATAATCTTTGTCATAAAATTTGGGCTTACCATGCGAGCATGTTCAACCAAAGGCCTGATTTCACGAAAAACACTGTTTAACCGATCACCTAATCCTATATTACTTCTTGGAGCAGCGGGTCTAGAAGCAGAATCCAATCTGTGAAGTGCATTATTACGGTTTGAGTTCTCAACGGGCGGATCATCTTCTATATCTAAATTTACTTGATTTAACTGTGCCATGGTGGGAACAAAACAAGAAACAATAGAGATCAACACTTCCAAATCATTTCCAAATATTATTGAATACGATACGATTGCGAAGGTCAAGATGTTTTTTACTTTTGTGTTTCAAAATAATTGTCACTTTGACGTTGACGGCCATTAATATTTTTATTAAGATTTTTGGCTTGGAAGCTTGTCTTTTAAGCCATGTCGTCATTTTTATCTCAGTATCAAGTGATAACAATCGTTTATAATACAAAGCTTCACAATATGTTGATGCGTCACATTTTACAGCCCTTGGGAGATTTTGACGGCCATAGTATCTCTATCTCAAGATTCCAAAGCAGACAGACACCTTATCTTGAGATTCACATCACCATCGGAGCAGTTTCTCCGTTTCCACTCATAGTTCACATACGCAGATATGTAATACACAAAATTGCGTCACTTTTACGTATCAAAATCCACTTAATTATTATTAAACTATTATTTAAGCAATAAAACAGGAACAGCAAACCACCGCCGGTCAAGTTCCCGCCAAAACTCCGACGGCTAATTAATATGACAGCAATGAACATAGAGTATATATAGAATATTATGATGTAACTCAGCTGAGGTAAGGTTGTTAATACATTTGCATTCAATCCAGCAAATTTGTTTTTTCTCTTCAAGAGATAGTGAATTGAACGGGTAAGGAGGTTTAATTAGGAATATTTTTTTTTATAGGAGAGGGGGCAAACGAGCATGCGGCTCACCTGATGGTAAGTGACTACCGCCGCCCATGAACAACCGCAACACCAGGGGAATTGCAGTTGCGTTGCCGGCCTTTTAAAAAGGAGTAGGCTCTTTTCTTGAAGGTCCCTAAGTCGTATCGGTCCGGAAAAATCGCTGGTGGTAAACTATTCCACAAGGAAGTTGTGCGAGGAAGAAAACATCTTCTAAATCGCACAGTGGTGGACCGCCAATCATCCAGATGGTGTGGATGGTATCGGGAGTTCTGCCGCGATATGCGTTCGTGAAATTTGGCGGCTGGGATTAATCCGAACAATTCCTCAGAGCACTCCCCATGGTAAATGCGAAAGAAAATGCTAAGAGATGCAACATCTCTTCGCAGTGCCAATGAGTCGAGCCGATCGGAAAGGACTCGGTCGTCGACGATTCGAGCCGCTCTGCGCTGGATGCGGTCAAGTGGAAGAAGCTGGCACTGGGGAGCCCCAGCTCAGAGATGGGAACAGTATTCCATGTGAGGCCGAACCTGCGCCTTGTAAAGTTGCAGGCGTTGACCGGCATGAAATACTGTCCCGCTCTGCTGAGCACGCCAAGCTTTTTAGAGGCCAATTTGGCCTTCTCTTCCAAGTGACCACGAAACTGCACGCTACTCGATATGTCGACGCCGAGGATACCGATACTGGCTGAGGCAACAAGGGGAGTACCTTGAAACTGAGGAGATACGACAAAGGGGTTCTTTTTAGCGGTAAACGCGCAAACTTGTGTCTTCTGAGGATTAAACTGGACTAGATTTAGTCGCCCCCAATCCGAGACTTTGTCCAGCAAAGACTCGACTTTAGACACAAGTTTGTTCCGGTACTCGGTGACGTTTTCCCGAGAAATATTGGCACGGCCGGTGTATAGAGCATCACCAGTGCTGTCATCTGCATAGCAATGAATGCTACCAGCTTGCAACATATCATTGATATGCAGAAGAAACAGCGTTGGTGATAGCACGCAGCCTTGTGGAACACCAGCGTTAATAGGCTTGTAGTCGGAGCATGCACCGTCTACAACGACCTTGATGCTCCGATCTGCAAGAAAGCTGGTGATCCAATTGCATAATTTCTCGGGAAGCCCATAGGAAGGGAGCTTCGAAAGAAGCGCTTTGTGCCAAACCCGATCGAAGGCCTTCGCAATGTCCAAACTAACGGCCAATGCCTCCCCCTTGGACTCTACTGCCAACGCCCATCTATGAGTTAAGTAGACCAGAAGATCACCAGCTGATCGACCCCGACGAAAACCGTACTGGCGGTCACTAATCAGCTGGTGATCCTCAAGGTACCGCATGAGGTGGCAGTTTACAACGGATTCCATTATTTTGGAGAACAAGGGGGTGATGGCGATAGGCCTGTAGTTGGACGGATCTGAGCGGTCGCCTTTTTTAGGGATCGGGTGGACAAAAGCTGTCTTCCATGATTTCGGGACTACGCCTAGGGAGTAGGAGTACCGGAAAAGACGCGTTAGAACCGGTGCCAACTCCGGAGCACACGTCCTCAGCACAATTGGGGGGATTCCGTCAGGCCCACTCGACTTGTGGATGTCAAGGGAGAGGAGTGCTCTGCGAACCGAGCGCTGTGAGAATCGCACATCCGGCATGGAGCACTCACACCGCGGGATGGTCGGCGGTGTGTTCCCCCCATCATCAACAGTCGAGTTGGACGCAAAAAGGGAGCCTAAAAGGTCGGCCTTCTCTTTTGCGTCGTGAATATATTTTAGTGCACTTTAGAGTGGCTATAGCAAATTATTTTACTATAAATTCATTTTTACTATTTTTGAATCCTTGAAGATCTACGATTATTGTATTGCTATTCATGGTATTTTCTTAACGATATCACTAGTGATTTGTATTTGAATATACAATCGTTTAAAATTATTATTAGTATGATATAAATATAGATCAGTTTATTATAATAAAAAATAATTTTCAATTGTTATATTTAGAATTTTAGTTTAAATCATAAATCGAAATAATAATATATTTCGATTTATGATTTTATCTGAAAGCAACAACACGTTATTAAAGTATTAAGCCAGGTAATAAATATTTCTAAAATGATTAAATACTCAATATTTTACTACACTAAAAAGAATTGGTAATTAAATAAGCGCTTGCAGATTTTTTTAAATTATTATGATATGAATATAGATCAGTTTATTATAATAAAATATAGTTTTCAGTTGTAAGATTTAAAATTTTAGTTTATATTTTTTATTTCGATTTTATCTGAAAGCAACAATACGTTATTTAAAGGATTAGGTCAGGTACTAAATATTCCTTAAAAAATGATGAAATACTCATTATATTACTACTTAAAAGTCGGTAATTAAATAAGCTATATTTAATATAATTGAATATTCAAAACTCAATTTTTCCATGTGGATCGACTGGCGCGTTATTATGGCGCCAATAATGCTCGGGACGAGCATGTCTTAGGAGGGGGCAGTGTTGCGCGCCACTATTAATGTCTTGTACATGGCAACACTAGATACACTAGCGCTGTCTAGTTTCGAAAAGCAGGACTAGGAGAGTCAAGATTCTTCCAGAAATTTCGGGACCGATATGTACTCGAACATTCTAGATGTCGCTACAGTAGAAGGTTCTGAAAACTATCTGATGCCCTAAACAAGGCCGGTATAGACCACGACCGAGGCAGTATTGAATTGGAAGTAATAAACTGATCTTTATTATAATAAAAAATAATTTTCAATTGTTAAATTTAGAATTTTAGTTTATATTTTTATTTCGATTTATGATTTTATCTGAAAGCAACAACACGTTATTAAAGTATTAAGCCAGGTAATAAATATTTCTAAAAATAAATGATTAAATACTCAGTATTTTACTACACTAAAAAGAATCGGTAATTAAATAAGCGCTGGCAGATTATTTTTAAATGATTATGATATAAATATAGATCAGTTTATTATAATAAAATATAGTTTTCAGACCAGATGGAAGTTAGCGTAGAACATTCTTTTTTTTAACTAAACTGTGTGGCAATTAATTGCTCCATAAATGCTCCAGCAGAATCCGAAATTGCTCCACCTCTATTGTTATTAGTTATTTTATAGTTAATTTTTAAAAAAATTAAGTATCAAAAATTTTATTTTGCTATAAAGTATAAAATATCTACTTTTTTAAATTAAACTGTATGCCAATTAATTGCTCCTTAAATGCTCCAGCAGAATCCGAAATTGCTCCACCTCTATTGTAATTAGTTAATTTATAATTAATTTAAAAAAAATTTAAGTATCAACAATTCAATTTTGCTATAAAACATAAAATATCTACGTTTTAAAATTAAACCGTATGCCAATTATTTGCTCCTTAAATGCTCCAGCAGAATCCGAATTTGCTCCACCTCTATTGCTATTAGTTAATTTATAAATAATTTTTAAAAAATTTAAGTATCGAAAATTTAATTTTGCTATAAAACAGAAAATATATAGTTTTTAAAAATAAACTGTATGCCAATTATTTGCTCCTTAAATGCTCCAGCTGAATCCGAAATTGCTATACCTCTATTGCTATTAGTTAATTTATAATTAATTTTTTAAAAAATAACCAGAAGGAAGTTAGCGTAGAACATTATTTTTTTAAATTAAATTGTATACCAATTAATTGCTCCTTAAATGCTCCAGCAGAATCCGAAATTGCTCCACCTCTATTGTTATTAATTAATTTATAATTAATTTTTAAAAAAATAACCAGAAGGAAGTTAGCGTAGAACATCATTTTTTTAAATTAAATTGTATACCAATTAATTGCTTCTTAAATGCTCCAGCAGAATCCGAAATTGCTCCACCTCTATTGTTATTAATTAATTTATAATTAATTTTTAAAAAAATAACCAGAAGGAAGTTAGCGTAGAACATTATTTTTTTAAATTAAATTGTATACCAATTAATTGCTCCTTAAATGCTCCAGCAGAATCCGAAATTGCTCCACCTCTATTGTAATTAGTTAATTTATAATTAATTTAAAAAAAAATTTAAGTATTGACAATTCAATTTTGCTATAATACATAAAATATCTACGTTTAAAAATTAAACTGTATGCCAATTATTTGCTCCTTAAATGCTCCAGCAGAATCCGAATTTGCTCCACCTCTATTGCTATTAGTTAATTTATAAATAATTTTGAGAAAGAGTGATCCCATTTGAGTAATAGCGCCATCATCAATAGAATGTAGTAACATTCTATAGTAAGTCATTTTATCGAATAAAAATTCAAAACACTCAAAACA